TTCCACCCAGAGTCCCTTTACCCACGGGAAAGGCCCCCCCTTCTGCCCCGTAAAGGCCCAGTGAGTGTTGGACCCCCTACTTGACAGAGACAAGCCCCCAGGGCTTATATCTGCCCCCACCCACAGACGCCGGGCAGTGTCGGTGACTACACACGCCCCAGTTTGAAGTTCTAACTCGCTGGGTGCAAAAGACCCAGGGGCAGAGGTGGCAGCAGATCCCGTCCCCTGGGTGGCCTGGTCAGTGCCCAGGGCTGTGACCACTGTTGGCCGTGTTCTTCCCCTGCTCCACCCTCCTGGTGGGCGCTCACGCCAGGCAGATGTGGCTCTACCTCTTGGGATGAGGTCACTGCCGAGGGCAGGCGAGTCCTAGCTTCTGCGGTCACCCTGTGGTAGGTCAGCTGCTGAGCGTCTGTCCCCGCAGGCTGTCACAGGATGGTGACCCTGATGGCAGGTGATGGTGTCCCTGGAGGTGCCCCTGCTGAGGGTCCCGTCCCTGACTCAGACTTGTTCTGCCACCTGCAGAGCTGTAACTGGCCATTGGCTATTGAGGGCTCAAGAGCAGTGGGGCCATGGAGGGGGCCATGCAGCCTTGCTGCCTGCCTGGGCTGAGCTCTGCCTTTGGAGTGAGCTTTGAGCAGTGACAGGGGTGCACAGAGCTGCCCTGGGGGCTCCGTGGTGAGCAGCGGGAGGTGCTCCACCCACAACCACTGCTCCTCTGCTCCTGGAGGCTGTGCAGCACCGGGTCTGTCTGCCTTGTCCTCCTCATGGGCCAGGGCCTGGGGGGTCTGAGCCACGCCCCCAAGCCACAGCCACAGATGTGCCTCAGTGCTGGTGGGCCAACCCCAACCCGCAGGAGCGGTGGAGGTGCTGCCAGCGCCTCCTCACTGATGGACAAGGCCGTGTCACTGCAGGGGTCGGCATCTCTGTAGACTGCAGGATCCGACGCTGGCAGGGCCGGCTCGGGGTCCCGGCGCTTCCTGAAGGCAGTGAACACGACTGCTGGGGCCTTCTGGGAAATGGGCGCCACATCCAAGAAACAGAGAAACCCACAGGAAAGTGACAGGCCCGTGCTCCCTGCTGGATTCCCCAGAGTCCTCAGAGGCACTGCGACACAGGATGCTGGGCTCCCCGACCTCCTGGTCACAGACGCCTCGGACCCAGGTGTGCCCTGCTCTGAGCAGTTCCCTGCACACACATGCAGGTGCTGCCAGAGCCCGAGGCCGCCCCTCTGGAGATGAGGACCCACTGGGATGGGGTCCTTGAGTCAGCCAGGGCGATGCTGTGTCTGCTCCCACCCTGGTGAGCTGCAGCCTGCTAGGGTGAGACCGCACTCCCACGGCCAGAGCAGAGCCCACAGGGCCCCCAGGAAGCCCCTACTCCCTCTCTCTCTCTGCTGCCCATGGCCCTGGCCCCTCCTGCCAGCCCTGGGCGGAGGAGTCACAAGCACCCGGGCCACCGGCCCTGCCAAGAGCACATTCTGGGGCCTTCCCTTGGGTTGACCCTGGAACTTGAACCCAGCAGGCACCTGTTCTGCTGGACCTCCCCAAGTCCACGTGTGGGTGTCCATGTGGACAGGGCTGTGTCAAGGCAGGAACAACCTGGGGGCCTAATCAGAGGTCCTGCATCCCCGCCCCTAGAGGACACCAGCCCCAGGCGTGCTCCTAGCTGTGCCCAAACTCACACCCATGAAACCCCCCACACTAAACAAGGCCCAAGCTCATCGTTTCCTGGGACCCAGGCGAGTCAATATAAAATATGCCTGATATTTCACCCCTGCTTCTGTTTGGGGCAATGCGCAGAACTCCATGGCTTCCAGCCAGCAGGTGGTTCTAATCCTGGGGCGAATGTGGGAGGAGCCACTCGCTACCACGCCCCCTTAGTGTGCAGCAGTTCAGTGGACGCCTGTGCAAGGGGCAGCTCCCGGGTCTCCGTCCACCCAGCCACGTGGGCCCTCTTGGTTGTCAGGGTCCACAGCAGGGATCCACAGAGACTCTGAGGACGCCTGACTGAGGTCCTTGTCCCCCACCCACCTGGGAGCTTCCAGAACCAACAGAAACCCCAGCCCCGCCTCACTGGCACATGTGTGCCCAGCAAGGTCCCCAGAGGATTCAGAATCTGGTCCAGCCACGGTCCCCTGGGAGCCAAACACATGGCGCAAGAGAGCGGTGCAGCGGAAGGGGTCTGTCAGGGGGAGGGGCTCACCTGTGACAGTGGCGGCCAAGTCCCGGGGGCGGCCGTCTGCCCATAGGAAACTAGGAGAGCTGGGAGCAGGCACAGACCAAGACATCAGGACACAGTACCAGGACCCGGGAGCCGCAGGTTTTTCTCGGTCTCGGGCTGCAGCCGGGAGTCCCAGGCCACGGGTGTGAGTTGCAGAGTGGAAAAGCCACAGCACCGGGGGCTCTGAGCCCTGAGGGGGAGCACTGAGACACACAGGCTCCATGAGAGCCCCGAGCTGCCCCTGCCCTGCGGCCCTGTTCTCTCCGAGATCTGGGTGGGCTGGGTGGTGCTGCCCACGGCGAGGGCAGATCCCCACAGTGCTGGACGCGCTCATCTGGGCTCTACAGAAACTCACAGACACCCCGGGTGCTCAGTCTTTCCCATGCAGGGGCAGGAGAGGGGGGGCTCAGCACCTGCAGGGGCTCTGAGGGTCCAAGCTGGGCCCGGCTCCCCCTGCCTCCCCAGATATCATCTTTGCCAGCACTCAAAAGAACCGTCCCAGCACAGTGGCCCGGGTCAACAAGGAGTCACAGACTGAGATCCTAAACACGTCTATGCACTCAGACGTTCTTAATTTAATAAAACGTCACCTAGATATCTCTTTTCTACCTCTGCACGGAAAAGCCTTATCAGGTGCTAAATAAAATTCAAGGAAGACATGGACTTAGACCAGGCACCTGCACTGGGCCCAAGACCCAACTCAGACAGCTTCATCCAGGCCCTGTGCTGTGGCTGTGGCACAAGGCCCTGTATCTAGTTCACTAATTAGCAATTAACTAGTTCAGCCGTGGCCACCCCGCAGGTCTGGGGACTGACCTGGAGCCATGGTGCTGATCTCTGCACCCACTTCCCGTGGTCCAGCAGTGCTGTGCACCTGTCCTGGATGAGCCACCTCAGAACCTGCTCCATTCCCAGAGCTGCCTGGTTCTGGTATCATTGTTGTTGTATGATGCTCTTCTCAGATACACTCCACTCCATGTACTGGCCTAAGGACGTTCCTCTGTCACAGGTGGAGCTGTCTCCTCCACACTGAGCCCCTGGGCCCAGGGCTGGCAGCTGCTCCCGATGCTGACGCCCCGGCTCTGCCCCAGCTGCTCCCTGGGTGGGGCAGGAATCAGCAGCCACCTGGGCCTGGGAGGAACCGCTCACTGGGGAGGGGCCTGGCTCTTCATCTCGGCCTCAGTTTCCCTGTTTGTGAAGGAGGGGCCAATGCCCACAGCCCAGGTCTGCAGGGGTGGGACTGAGGCTGTGAATGCAAGCTGAGCCTGAGGCAGAGGCCCAGCTCCACAGGGAGCCAGAGGGGGAGGGGTGGGCACCCAGCACCAAGGCAGCCTAGGTCCAGGCTCACCTGTGCCCCTCACGCCTGTGGCCTCTGGGGCTCTGAGTCCCCAGCAGCGCGGCTCTGTCAGTGGGAATCACCTGGCCGAGTCTCAGACACTGCACGTGGAAAGGTTCTTGGCCAAACCAACCCCAGCCTCTCCCAGCCAGGGGTTCTGGGGGCACCTGTTAGAGAGGGGGCATGTCTGAGCACATGCAGCCACTGGGGCCACAGACCCCGGGGCCTGGTGCTGCCACACCTTCCCCTGTGCCCAGAGAAGCCCCGACAGCTCCGTGGTATCTGAAGATCTCAACCTCAGCACCACAACTTTGCACACAGCACAAACCACAGCAGACTCAAGGGAGCAGGTCCGGCCCGTGGGCTGGCAGTTTGCAACCTGGTGTGTGCAAACTTCTCCTAAGACGGCAGGGGGACTCCTGCCTGCTCCTGGTGTCCCGGATGTCTGGGGAGATCCCAGCACGGCCTCTGTCCTGAGGACTCCTCAGATGTCTCATCCACTGCTGGGAGCTTCGCAGCCATAACCTCACTCACTCTGGCCCCAGCCCTGGGCGGCAGGGTGACCACCACCATCTCAGGGAGGGGGCCACGGGTAAGGTCAGTGTGGGATGTGGGACACCCAGGAGAGGCAGGACTGCTGACCTGGGGTGGAGCCAAGAGGTCAGCAAAGGGAAGATGGCCACAGTAGGCACTGGGGCTTCCTGTGTCAGGAGAACAAGAGGGAACTCTGGGAGGTGCAGGTGCTCCCGGCCTGGCTGCTCCTGGGTCTCCCTGAGGACAGAGAAGGTGAGAGAGAGCCCCAAATCAGGGTCAGGGCCTCCCCGAGGGAGAGGGACAGAGAGGCAAGGACAAGGGGCAAGGACAAAGGAAAGGCCTGGGGGGCACAGGAAGGAGCCACCTCCCCCAAATCCCTGGACCCACAGACGGCTGACAGCTTCCAGAACCTCGCCTAGGCTGGTGATGGCAACTAAGGACTCAGCACTACCCAGCAGCCAAGGGAGGTGGGAACTATTCTGGGTGCTTCCCGCGGCAGCCACACTGCAACCAGAGGCTCCTATTGCTCACACCCCCTTGACAGAGATGGAATCAGAGGCCAAGGGGCAGGGACACCAAGGTGGGCAGCAGCCGGCAGTGGAGCCAGGACACAGCCCAGGCCCTGGACTCGGTGTGGCTCCAAGCTGCCTCCCTCCAGGCTCCCAGTGCTCCGATCTCCGTGTGAGGCCACAGGTGCCCAAAACCAACACTAAGTCCTTCATGTTTTTCCATTCACAATTTATTGATCTCATGGGTTTCTGTTAACTCATAAATCTGTTAACTCTAGGCACAGAGGCAGTAGTGCAGGGCAATCCATGGGCACCAACAGAGACAACGAAGTTCTTCCCAGGCAGCAGCTGCTCCCCGGGGACAGAGGAGCCAAGGGATCCAGTCCTTGGGGCAGCGAGGATGAGGGACCTTCGACTCCTCTTCTGGAAGGGCGAGGATTCTGAAGCTGGGCGTCTCGGAGTCCATCTTCCCGTGGAAGATCGTGGTGACCTGGGGGCACCAGAGACACAGCTGAGCTGCAGCATCTGCCGTGTAGACCCGTTGGTGGCCCCAGGACCCTCCTGGAGTTGAGAGGTCAGAGGGCTTGGCCAGGGACAAGCTTACATGCGAGTAATGTGGCCTTGTCATGACATAACCTGGTCCCTGGTTCCTGTCGCTGTGGGGGAGTCCCTTACCACCAAGAGGTCCTTCAACAGGAAGTCTTCTTGCTGGTGCAGATCAGGTTTCCGGGGCCTCTTTGGATCCTAAACCTTGTAGAGCCACCCGGACTGGGCAGTAGTTACCTGTGCAGGGGAGAGAGGGGCCCGCACTGCCACCACCCCTCCCCTGCAAACATGGGAGACCCCCAACTGAGAGTCCCCCGCAGGCAGAACCTCGCAGTAACAACCCTTTCTCCCACCCCCGTGCAGACAGCACCTGTCCCACCTGACAGCCTTCTCACCTTGGTCCCAGGATCCGCCATGGACACCTCCTGCCCCGCTCTGCTGAGGGACGCGGGAGCCACTGGGGACACAGAGGGCTTGGGGGACCGGCAGTCAGTCCCGCCCCAGGAAGTCCCCATCCAGGATGCGATTCTGGCCTCGGGATTCTTCTCCCTCTCCCGGGGCTCCCAGGAAGGGAGACGAGTGGTGCACAAATGAAAATGCAACAACAGAAATCAAATGAACAGAAATCAAAACACAAAAATGAACAAACTCGCTCTGCTCCCATCACCAACAGAAACCATGAACTATATCAACTACACCACACCAACAACGGAGACTGTTCTATGAAAATGTTAAATGAGAAAACTCAAAATGCATACGAATGGTGGCAGGAAACAAAATATAATAGAAAAAGTACAAAGCAATCAAAAATGGAAAAAGAAAAACAAATTTGACCAAACAGGAGCAGCAGGATCCGATTCTTCCTCCGGATTCCTCTCCCTCTCCAGGGCTCCCCCAGGAAGGGTCAGCAGGGCTGACGTCTGGGAGACCCCGAGCCAGCAGCTGACACAGATCAGCTCTCACGGCTCTGACTGCTTGAGAATAAAGGAACATGAAACAAACATAAATCATTGGAACAGAACTCAAAACACAAAATGGACAAAGTCAGCTCACATCACCAACAGAAAACAGGAACTAAATGAACTCAACTAGACTCACAGCTGAGACTAACCCTGTGGAACCAGCTAAAAGAGAAAACACAAATGAATGAATAACAAAGCATACAGAAAAAAATCCCAAGAACCTGAACTATATAACAAGTAATGCAGATGGTCTCACGGTCTTATTTTAAAAAAAAAGGAATAAAAAAGAGAAAAAAAAACACATTGTGAAAAAATAGAAACCCAACAATGGGAGAAAATATAAAGAACAACCACCAACATGAGGAAAGCCAATGAAAAAGTGACAAGAAATCCAAATAAATGAAATATCCTAGGAAAATCAATAAGAAAGCGACAAGAGACTATAAATGTTGGAGGAAAAAAATAAACAAAATAAATAAGAAAACAAAATAATCAAAATGGAAAAAGAAAAAACAAATTTGACTAAAACAGCAGCAGGAGGAACATAAACCAAACAAGGGAAACACAGGCAGCTGTTCCCAGCCCCAGGTCACCGGGACAGCACTTCCTGGGCCAATGACAGAACCCAGGCCCAGCCAAGGCTTTGTGCTGGCAGCGGGCATGACGTCACAATGGCGCCTTCTGATGTCAGAGCAGGAAACCACAGCAGGTGCTGCCCTCTGCTGGTTTGCACAGGAACCTTTCCACTTGAGTGAGACAAAGACTGCACAATTCTTTCTTAGGGTGAGAGAGTGATATTAGTGTTTTGAGAAA